TCAGAATCCAGAAATCTTTCTCTCTAGGGGCACAGAATCTGGTCCTCTTGTTGGTAATTAGAAAATCTAGTCAGTAAACTTGAAGTTATTACACAAATACATTCCAAAGAGCGGGGAGATGGTAGGGCAAAGTACTGCTATCAGATTCCATCCACATGCACCACTTGAACAAGTGCTCTGGAACCTGTAAGGAGCTCTACATATTTGTTATGATAATTATTGTCTTTGTTATCATTCTTTGCAACTTCCGCTGACATCAATATTGAATATGAAATCTTGAGAAATGGAAAGGAACATCTTCTCTCTCTCTCTTAATCCCTTGAATCCCCCTGAAATGAGGCGCAATCCCACCTGGTGATCCCAGAGCAGAGCTCATCCAGTCCACTTAGCAAAGGCCCCACATTTGAATGTTGAGAGAGGAATGTATTTACATTTGTTTAGTTCTTTTTCATTAAAGCTAATACAACAAACAATCCATTCTTGCTTCAGGGTCTGGTTTTCACAGATTTCTGGCTAGAGCCTTTTGTTTTCTCTCAGGGGTCCAAATAAGCGTAAAACAAAGAATACTGGTCATTCTCCCGGTGCTCCCTCTCTGGGGCTGTGCTCAAGGTGAGGGGGTCGCTTAGAAGACCACTGCTCACTCCTTACTGTGCTCAGTCGCTTCCCAACCTCTGGTCCACTCCCTTGTTTAAGGAGAAAAAAGAGAGATATCAAATGCCCCAGTCGTTTTTACATTTTCTCAGAAATAGAAGATAATAAAGGGACCAGAAATTGCACATATATCAAACACTCTGCTTCTTAGAAGTATCAAGGGCAAATAAAAGTTAAGATTCGACGACGTTGAATCGCCAGTTCCCATTTACAGCTGTGATCACTTACAGTCTCAGCGTTGGTAAGTGATCGTTATTACTAAATGGTAAAATGTCGAGTCAGATCTCAAGTCTTGGTCTTCAGTTTCTGGATCCTCTGCTTATTCCAGCACGCACACCACTTCCCCTTCAGGATAAAACAACTTAGAAGAGAAGAAATATTGCTAGTGATAAAGAAAATGCTACCAAGTTCCAGATTCTACTTCTGATGACTGCTCACATCTATTGTCCTTGGGTGTGAGCTGGTCTCTGCTTCAGAATGATCCAGGTAAATTGCTGCTACCTGCTGTCCTCTGCCCATCTGGGCCCTCCCAGGGGCCTGCCCTCTGTGCTGCCTCATCAGATACCCTCCCTGTTCCAGGGTGACTGCAAAGGCTGGCCTTCCCTTGGCACATTTATCTTCAACCCCCGGTGAACAAGCAGAGCACACAGTAGACTAACTCATTTATTTCCACTCATTTATTGATGGCCTTTCATAACCGAGTTATTAAGTCATCAATAACTTCAGAGAAATAAATGAATGGATCCAGAACTGGGCCAACAGATATTTAAGATATACACTGAACATTTTATCTAGGATCAGCAGAAAAGTCAATGCTGGGTCATCAGTGTTATTTTTCTCACCTGGGAAAACATATTCTATGTTTTATTCTAATTAGAACCCAGCATATTTCTCTACAAAGTAATGAAATGAAGAACATCTCCAGTCTCCCAAGTAAAATAAGGTTTGAAAAAAAGATTACGTGTGTTAACATTTTTCCAAAATGCTACCTAATATCTCTTGCTCTCATCAGCTGACAAAAAATAACCCTGGAAGTTTTGCCAGAAATAGTATAAGCTCTTTCAGGATTGCTTGTGAGTTCTGATATATTCCCCTCGGGAAATTAAAATAAAATAAAATAAAATAAAATAAAATAAAATAAAATAAAATAAAAAAGTAAAATAAAATAAAAAGAGGAGGGAAAAGGGAAAGAAAGGCAGGAAGGGTTTCTAAGACCTTGGGAAACGTCTGAAACAGTATCTGGGAGTCTAGAGATGTTCCTAACACTGAAGTTAAGTTTCTATAGGGACCCTTCCAGAGCCATGAGCAGTTCACCCAGCTGGGGGGAGCCACGCATTCTCAATATGTTTAGGGTACATGTAGCTGCTCTGTCTCAACCTCCATGAGCAGCCCACTATCCCGACCTCTTCTCCCTGCTCAGATACCCCGTGGCCCTAGTTTGCTCTCCGCTTACACCCTAGGGCCCCAGCTAGATGAGAGGATCTTGGCTGCTGCTAAAGGACCACAGGTGTGCTTGGAAACCTGTCCGTGCCTCAGTTGCCTCAGATTCCTCATCTGTGAAATAGGAATAATAATAGAACAGGCTTCATCAAATTGTTGTAAGAGTTAAAGGCATTAATATATGGAAAGCATTTAGAGTAGTGTCTGGCACATAGTATGTGTTCAAGAAGTGTTAGCTGTTATTGTTGTTGTTGTCATTAATAAAAATAGAATATTTTCCTCATGATTGGGACCTCAGAGACCAGCCAGGCCAGTTTCCTCGATTCATTGTACAGACAAGGAAACTAGCCCAAGTGGCCTAGCACACAGTGTCTGCTTTGCAAAGTTTGAAGGCTGAGTGAGATACGGGCAGAAACAACGTCATCTTTGGAGTCCAGCGGTCCTACATTCAAATTCCATCTCTACTGTTTGCAAGCTGTGTGACTTTGGGCTCATCTCTTCCCTTCTCTGGGCCTCTCTAGGTCACCTGTAAAATAGGTATAACGTGACCTACTTTGATGGATTGTTGTGAAAATTAAAAAATAATGACTGAAAAAGTTAATGAATGGATAATGTGACCAGCACGCTACCTAGGAATTCATAAGCATTCAATAGCTGGGGACTGTCATTATTGCAAATGTCATTCCATTGGGCTGCTGCAGACTGGGTGCCAGAATCCTGGGCCACTGACTGTCAGCTAAGCTCACCATCTCACAGCCTACCTTTACTTAAAGCAAACAGACAAACAAAAACAGGAATTTTCTTACACTCCTTTCTATCAGTTTTCTTCAATGACCATCTTGTCATCAGTAGATATTATCAGCTATCAAAAATTACCTGTGCTTGTTGATGGATAAAATTCTGTAAGTCCTTATTGTTCTTAAAGAAAAAGAAAGGAAAAAAAGAGAGAGAGAGGCAAGTCCCCACTGTTGGCACAGAGCTTTTCTAACTAGTTGAGTTGAGGGTGAGTAGCACTGCCGCCAGCTAAGCCCCAACAGGGAGAAAGTGACTCAGAAACGACTTGCAGATGTTGCAAGATGATGAAGAAAACACTACGTGCAGCAGTGATTTTGCAAATCTGACACCTTTATTGGGGTAGAAACAGCTAGAGAAAGGTTCAGGAAAGGACGAAAATTGAACTGGACACCCTGGTTTCCTTTTTGGGAGAATATGATGAATAAATTCTAACTCCAGATAACAGGGAATGCATTCCAGCTCTCTCAGAAAACAGATCTGTGGAACTCAAATATCCATGAAAAGATGGTAGATGCCCCACGGTCAGGCTTGGGAATGGGGAGTGGTTTCCATGGCCAGGAGGGAAACACTTCCCTCTTGAAGATTTACAATGCTCACTTACAAATGAAAGATTCTGAGAAGCCCTGTACATAAGAAACCTATTTAACACTGTCAAACCTATCCTGACCTGAACGACTGGCACAGAATTTCCAGCAACACCGTGTAGAACAATGGCATACCAGGGAACACCATTTGGGAAACTGTGCAAGGTTTGAAATCAGAGATCTTAAAACAATGAGTGAGAAGGGCTGCCAGTTTGGGTTTTAATTTTATTGTGAGTCTCTGCTTCAACCATTTTGGACAAAGGATAAATGGCTGGCTAGAAATGGACCCCATGTTGCTTTCTTGTATTCCCATTTTATTTGTGAGAGACGGAACTGCAGCATCTGCTCTTACACAGGTTTTAGAGAGCAGAATATAGCCCTTTGTGTTCAGCTATTTGTCATTAACCATCAATGGAACTGTCTGGGAATGTGCAAAAATGTAAATAAAATAAAATGAAAGCAAATCAGCTTGGGTTCATCTAAGGGCTCCTGTGGAGAAGCCAGTGGATCGCCATGTCATCCAGCGTCATGATTTCTTGAGAATGTTCACATTATTACTGGACTGGGAACTCGTGACACAATTTGGAGATGGACACTGATGGCCCAAACAAAGCAATGGAGACCACATTAAGACATAAATGCTTTTAATGATGGAGATAACATTACAACTGATTGAATTCTGGAATTCTCGTTTCTTAATATGCAAAATGGGATACACAAAAGATGTAAAAATGCCACTGAATCTCCTTCTTACCACACTGCAATATTCATTATCATCTGCCTCTCAAGTTCACAAAAATGTTTCACCTTCCTTCCTTTTTCTCACATTTTCATCCTCTACTCTCACATAAATGCCCATCAAATGCTTTCTCTTTTGTTCTTTTTAATTCCTTTTCTTCCTTTCTCCCACTGTGGCCCTTTTGGGGGGGAAAAAAAAGGAGACAAGCACATTCAATTATTATAGGCTTCCTATCAGGAATATCTGTTTCAAACTCTTAAGAATCAAAGTGGGAAGATATCTAAAATTAATAGCCTTTGGTAGTGACCTATCAAAAGGAAAATGAATGAAAACAAGTTTAACAATCATTAGACTGTTATCATCCCCTCAGTCTTGACCTTTGGGTAAGTCATAAATAAATACCATTCAAATCTGACAGAAGTAAACTGCAAAATTCCCACAACAGCAATCTGACAGAAATACCATTTGTATTGATGTCAAAAAAGTGGCATTTCTTAGCTGTTTAATAAAGTAGAGATTATTAAGAAAAGTAAATGTTGAATTATCCCACAAGAGTCTCATCCACGTGGCAAGACCTATGAGCTAATTTGCTTGGCAGCTGCTTCACTGTTTAGATGAAGACGCCTCTACTTAGAAAGTTTTTTTAAATGTGGTTAAATTTAATTTGGTTTGACATGTATTTTTCTGGTGAAAATATGTTAATACTATATATGATATATTAATGTTGATATTATATGCAATATTTTATATTGATTATTTATCCAATGTCTTCTTCTGTTGTCTCTCTCCAGGAAGCAAATAACTTGGAAAAAAGCACGACAAAAACAGAGAGTGCTTGGCTCTTCAGAATGTGGTATGGCTTTGATCACAAGTATCCTTTGACAATGATGCTCTCCCAGATCCTGCTGCACAGCAGAGATTAACTTCCAGCACTTAATCATTGAGGTGTGCGCCCCTGCTCTTCAAGAAACACAGAAAGGTAAAGCTAATTCACAACAAACTTACCAAAAAGATTGATTTCAAAAAATACAAAGCTATATCATCCATACTTAAATGTTACAAAGAGCTAACATGAAATCTGTCAGAGTCAAATGAATTTGGTGTATTCATGGCAATCTAATATTTCCAAAGCTAGATGGTAAAGTCACATAGTCCTGAGAACTGATCTATTTTACTAATTTTACTGCTCTTTCCTTTGTAAAGATCTTACTTCTGGAGTTGGCCAGGAGGACTGGACAAAACTCCTTGTCCTTTCTCCCAGGAACCCACTCATGTGCTTTGTTTCATCCTGTAAAAAAATGAAGGGAGTAGGGGTGCAGGGGACTGCATGGTCCAAGAAGGAGAATGAGTCTGTTCACCACATTATAAAATCACACTACTTTGTTTTCCAGGCAGACTTGAGTAAGCTTTTCCTAGCGAAGGGCAATTTTAAAATTCTAGCAATCTGTGTAAACACAGTGCCCAGATACACCTTGCTGAGTGACTCACAGGGCTGAGAAGTCGGGTCTGAAGGGATCTGCCATTGTGAGTTGCAGTAAGCGGTCCATCTCTAATCCCAGGCAAAAGTGCCACGGAAGAAAGAAAAGATCTGCACTGAAAATTGCATGTGTTGGGTCTTTGTAGTTGGTTTTCCACAGTCACAAATCCCTCTCCTTTCAGGGAGAAAATGTCAGTCACTGGGTGATTTTAAAGCCCCTAAGCAATGATTAAAGCCACAACAGATCAGTGGGAGAGGAAAAAGAATTAAGAACAGGCAAAAGAAATTCAAAAAATAAGATGAAGAAGAGGTAAAAGTTGAGAGGGAGAGGAGGCAAGAGAAATACAGGAAATTCACAGTAGGAAGGAAAGGAAATCAAATTAGAGGAATGACTGCAGAAAAAAATTAAGTAAGAATGAAGTGAAGCCAAATGAAGATTGTAGAGATAAACAAAAATAAAACAAAGTGAGAATTAGAAAGCAATTCTGCAAAAATAGAGCATTCTAGAAGTTACTAATGGAGATGTGGAAGGTGGAGGTTTTTTGATGCCATAGTCTTATTTTTCCACAGCTCTGTTATCTATGGATGGATACCTCGCCTTGCTCAATCTTGAGCGTTTATGGACAGTGTAGGTTGCCACCCCTTTAAAGGTGGTCCATCTTGGCCAATAACTACCTCTTGGAGGTTTTGATATCTCATTAAATACTCAAAGCCTTCCTGGTCTCTTTAAGGGAAGCTGGTTCTTAGCAAGTTATGCTGGTTTATGTTCTAGGTCAATTTCTCTTCTGGAAACACAGTTTTCCTCTGTCATTGCTTAAACCAAATTTGTAGGAAGTTATAAAAATTTGACTAAAGAGTACACAAAAAGGCTGCTTGCTTATGACAAGATGTACAGTAAGAAAATGTCTTTTTGGGTTCCTGGACCCAATTTCCAACTTGTGGAGTGGAGGCTTCCCCACATATCCAAGCAATGCTCTGGACACCAGCTCAGTGTACTACAATTCAACTCAATTCTAACACTGTCTACCTGGAGGTAAGGGCTCAGTTCCACAAGGCCACCCCCATCACCACTTTAGACACCAGTCATAAGCCCAGGTTGTTACTTCTGCTTCTGACCAACCCGCTATAGATTCTAGGTTCCCATGACCTCCTCCTTGGGTTTGATTAATTTGCTAGAGAAGCTCACAGAACTCAGAGAAACATTTTACTTACTAGATCATTGGTTTATTATAAACGGATATAACTCAGGCACAGCCAAATGGAAGAAATGCGTAGGGCAAGGTATGGAGAAAGGGCACGAAGCTTCCATGCCCTCTCTGAACATGCCCATATCTCTACGTGTTCACTAACCCAGAAGCTCTCCAAATCCTGTCCTTTTTGGGTTTTTATGGAGGCTTCGTTATAGAGGCATAACTGATTAAATCATTGACTATTGGTGATTGAACTCCATCTCCAGCATCTCCCCCTCCCCGGAGGTGGGAGGGCAGGGACTGAAAGTTCCAACCCTCTAATCATGTGGTTCGTTCTCCTAGCAACCAGCCCCATCCAAAGGTGCAGGCCAAAAGTCACCTCATTAACATAACAAAGGATACCTTTGCTGCTTTCATCACTTAGGAAACTCCAAGGGTTTTAGGAGCTCTGTACCAGAAACGGGGACTAAGACCATGTATATATTTCTTATTATAAATCACAACATCACAAACTGGTAAATCGGAAGTGAGATAAAAGATGTTTTTGTTCAAATTCTGACAGTGCTATGAGGAATGCTTTACAATGAAGAAAAGGAGTAACATGGAAAAAAATAACTCGGAAACAAGAAAATGAAAGTGGGAACCCACACAGATATTTAGCTTAGAGCAGTGACACTAAATTCAGATGATGTCATAGTTTTTGTCTCACTTTTCACCAGGGATTTATTTCCATAGGATTATGGACATATTGGCAAAAAACAAAAGCAGATTTACCCTCTCAGTAATATCTCTTCTCAGAGTAATTTGTCCTCTTGTGCATTCGTTCTAAAAATTGCAGTGCTACCATCACTGCACAAATATATTTTCTCTCAGACAACCAAGTTTTTATGTGCTAGTTATGCTCCAAATTCATACCCAGAAAGCAGCAAACCAACCAGTTTCCACTCTGTGACCTCTTGACAGATCTGTGTTTTTAGAGACAAATTATCCACTTTGCATTTATGTTCTTTCTATTGTCCACCTGGAACCCAGGTGATGTGCCCCATGAACCTCATAGGTAGACTATGCCAGCTGCCATCAGTGTAGGATGATCCCCCCACCTGGGATCAGGTTGTCTGGCGGCCTAGGCCAAAAAGAAATTGTTGTGAGGCTGAAAGAAAATGACTATGCAGTTTGGAGCTGCTCAAGTTTCATTTCAGTAAAATTGCGTTGTGCAAATGAGGCATCATAAAGAATTACTGACAAAAGAAAAAGAGGAATAAATAAGCCTTCATATGCACCTGTATCAGTCAGAATTCTCCAGAGAAACAGTAATAGAACCAATAGGAGTACACACACGCACACATATATACATATACATACACATATACATATACATAGATTTATTTCAAGGAATAGATTTATGCAATTGTGGGGGATGGCAAGTCCAGAATTTGTAGGGCAGGCTCTCAGTCTAGAAACTCTCCGGTAGCAGCTGATTTTTTCTTCCTCAGGGAAACCTCAGTTTTGCTCTTAAGGCCATTCAACCGTTTGGATGAGGCCCACTCATGTTATTGAGGATCATCTCCTCTACTTGGAGTCAACTAATTTTGTAGATGTTAACCACACCTACAAAATACCTTCACAGCAACACCTAGATTCAGGTTTGATTGAATAATTGGATAGCCTAGCCAAGTTGACATGTAAAACTAAACATCACAGTTTTCACTTCACATTCAATTTATGCCCAATATTCAGACCCAAGGGTAGAAAGACTATCTTAATTCACCATTGGTATCAATAAAACAAGCCGCTATTGCTCACAAAGTTTTGTTTTCTTTTTGTACTTTTTCATAGCATAATTAATACACATATACATGCCCATAAAATTTTTCCAAAAACCACAGGAGAATAAAAATAATAAAAATTAACATTTGATGAAGAGGAACAATGGCCAAGTAACATCTTGAGTGCTTTACGATTATAATTTCATTTCACCTCCAAGCTCTGTAGGAGGTTAGGAGGTTCTAGAGAGTATAATGTGACATAAGTGGACTGCTGATCGTGTCAGCCTTTGCTGAAACAACCTGGGCTCCCATGCTCAAGAGTGTTGTTAGAAGCCTATGGTGCCGAAATTGATGATTAATTAAGATTTCATTATAATTCAATGTGGGCAGCAATTCTGAGTCAACAGTGCAAAGAAGAAATTAAGAAGGGGGGTAAGAAAGCGAACTATGTTACTGAGCACCAATGCTTTGCCGTTGGGTACATTATTTCATTTCATCCTTATAACCACCCTTTTTGTTTTATGTAATTCTTACAATCACTCTCTTTGAAGTGGAAGAAACAAAGTCTCAGAGAACTTAAATAACTTTCTTAAGGTTCCATAGCTAGTGTCAGTTCTTTGATTCAAGCACAGATCTATCTCACTCTAAAGTCCATAAATATATTTAAGGGAACTTCATCACTGACAACTCTATGTCCATGATATCCCTTATTCTACATGTGAAACCCCATCTCAACATATGCATAAAGTCACTATTACAGCAATGAATATTATGACTGCTTACATTATGTAGTGCAGAGCTCATATCTCAAGCATCTGTTGAAGACATATGGGGTGTTAAGGTTAGGGGTTGTGGTTGGTCCCCTAAGAACACCACCATAAAGCAGTCCCCAAGTTTCTGAGTCCGGTCCTCAACTTTTCAGGGGCAGAAAGCTAAATATACCAAAGACTCCAAGAATGGTTTAATTTCATAGAGGTGGATGCACTCCAGCCAAGCTCAAAGGAGACACAAGTATAAACCAGACACCAAATTCCTAAATGATCATATATATCCCCATGGGGAGGAATATCCCTTCCCAGCCATGAGAAGGCTCAAGTCACAATCTGGTCCCTGGTGTCCCTCTGGCCCCCTCTCCTACTCTTGCTCCCAGGCTCACTCTGCTCCAGCCACCCCGACCTCCCCGAGACACACCAAGCACATTCCTGTTCCCGGGTGTTTGCCCTGGTTCTTCCCTCTGCTCTGGGATGCTCTTCCCTTAGGTATTCACATGCTTCCCTCCTTCACCTCTTTCATTCAACTTGTCAGTGACCTTCCTGGCTCCATATTTAAATTAGCAGTCCCAACTGGAGCACTCCCTCACCTCTTCCTTGCTTTGTTTTCACCATAACACTTGTCACCATCTGACACAGTATGTACTTTGTTTTAATAGTCTCCTCCA